TGAAAATGCCTGTCCCTATCTTCAGCCTTCTAAGGCCTCAGGTACCAGCAACCTTTATGTTGAGACGGGATTTATCACCCACCTAGAGCTCACCAGGTAGGCTAGGCTGACAGGCTACCTAGTGAGCCCCAGGAATCTGTCTGTCACCACATCTCCGCTTTGGGGATTACACATCTCTAGTGCTGGGATTACAAACCAACTGTGCCCAGCTTTTTAAATGTGCATTCTGAGCCAGGCAGTGGTGACGCACACCTTTAATCTCAGCACTTGGGAGGCAGAGGCAGGTACTCTACAGAGTTCCAAACCAAAAAAAGTAGATTCTGGGGGTTGAACTCAGGTTCTCATGTTGGCAAGGAGAGCATTTTACTGACTGAACCATCACCCCAGCCCTGAGGCCCCTTTTTCAGCTAGGAGGATAGAGCTGCTTGCTGGAAGTAGCACCACTGGGAAAGTTGAACAGAAAACCTTCAGATGGCCTCTTCAGAGCTGTTCTGCTTTGTAGACTAGGATGCAACCCCAAATCCCACCGTTCAGAGTGGGGGTGGCTGAACTGGACTCAACACGAACCCTCCTGCTTCTATCAGCCCTGAATGACACATGGGAGTCTCCCAGCACTAGGGATGTAGCCTGAGACAATGGCCATGAGAGTCTCCCAGCACTAGGGATGTAGCCTGAGACACTGGCCATGAGAGTCTCCCAGCACTAGGGATGTAGCCTGAGACACTGGCCTTGAGCTACTTGGCAAAGACTCAGTGCCCTTGTGCAAACAAATACAGACATGCTTCTGTGTGGGGCTTGTGTGTCCACAGAGCTCAGCCACACTATCTACGGTCCCTTTCCTGTTCAGATTCTCTCCTGAGGACACTCGCAATGGTCACTTTCAGAGGGACCATCAGCTCAGGGCCAGCATCTAGGAGATGGCTCCGTTCTCTCAGGCCACTGTTCTTGTCCACTCAGGCTTCGAAAACATATGGGGAGCAGGGACACAGCGGGTGCTGTCCCTTTAAGACACATCCTGGGTCAGATCCAGCAGAGGAAAGTATGGTAAACATCCCTGAGCCCAGAGGGAAAGGCAACATGTCCTAGGCAAGAACGGATCACACAACGGACATGGGAATCCCTCTGCGGACTTACTTAAAAGGGCAGCCGGCTAACACGTCTTAGCCTTTACTCTGTCCCACTGACGAATGGGGAAACTGAGGCTGGGGGAGAAGAAGCACTGCCCAAGGCTGTGGGTGGAACACCGAGTGATTGCACAGAGTGCGAATGGATGCTGGATTGCTCCATCATAGTCCTCCTGTATTCCTCTGAAACAGGAGTAGGGCCGCTCAGCTGGAGTTGCCCAGGGGCTCTAAGGACAGAATAGGTTCCAGTGGTGCCTGGGGCGCTTGCCTGCCTGTCTACCACCAGCAGCCTGACAGACACATACCCCGCCCACCCTGCCTCCTGGAGCCCTACAAGTTTAGGAAGCGGCTGGTCCCACACACGGACTAGAGATGTCTGCTCATAGCCGGTGTCCACACCATAGATTTGGCTTTCCAGGAGGGCTGGCAATATAGTTCAATGGCGGAGTACTTGCCTAACACGCGCAAGGCTGCAGGTTTGATCCAGGGTGTGCTATAGGTAGTGTGACTCCCTTGCCTCCCAGGGTAGGTGCCTGTAGTATGAATTCTAATTGGTCTTAATAATAAAAACCCAGAGCCAGATATTAGGAGGTGAAAGTGGAAAGATCAGAGAAGCAGAGTAGCCAGTCACTAGTTCTTACCTCTTACGAAATCCTCAGAACGGGGGTAGGGGGCAAGATCCTGTCTCTACAAATCCTCAGACCGGATGCGTTGAACTCCTGTCTCCTCCCACTTTATATTCCTCTCTCCACCCAGCCATATCTCTTCCTGTTTCTACCTCCCTAGTGCTGGGATTAAATGTGTATGACTCCCAAGTACTGGGTGGGATTAAAGGTGTAACCCCCCCCCCCACACACACACACACTGCCTGACTCTGCTTCCCTTTTAGACTAGATCAATTTCACATAGTCCAGGGTGGCCTTGAACTCAGAGATCTGTCTGCTTCTGTCTCCTGAGTGCTGGGATTTAAAGGCACGTGACATCACTGCCCAGCTTCTATAATTAATTAGTGGCTAGCTCTGCCCTCTAATCTTCAGGCAAGCTTTACAGCACAAACAAAATATCACCACAGGCACCTGTGGTGTTGACCTCCAGGACTCCCAAATGGGCAAAGCATTGAGGAGGGAACATTTGGGAGAGCCAGAAGCCAAGCAATCAGTCTCAGTCATGGAACCAGAGAGTGCCACGTTAGAATTTGGCCCCTTGCTGTCCCGAGTCTCTGCCCTTAGCCCCCTGTGACCTCAGGTGACACAGAGGTGCACAGCAGGGCCTGAAGCTGCTGGTTAGTGGAAAATCCCATTTTTAGATAAACACTTTAGGCTGATTCGCACTCTCTGTGCCTTCGGCTTCCCTTCTAAAACTAACCTGAGAGCTGAGCATTCGGGAGCAGCTACTGGTCTCCAATGCCCTTGGGAAGACCACCTGTCCCGCTAGGAAATATTCGCTGAGGAGGGGGACTGGGCAGACAGGCCATTTGCGCCTCCAGGAGCTCCAAGTACGGCCTACTGGCCTGAGAGCTCTTGACTGGACCTTTCCCAGGTGTGGAGGAGTTGTGCCTACTTCCCAGGGCTGTTCTTGTGTGAGGGCAGACACACGTGTGTGAAGAGGCCAGGAGACAAGCTTGGGTGTCTGTCATTCCTTAGGCCCTGTGCACTTTTGTTGGAGACAGCGTCTCTCATTGGCCTGGAAATCCATCAAGAAGGTTAGGTTAGCTAGCCATGAGCTCCAGGGATACACCTGTTTCTCTGCTCCTATCTTGCCATCACTAGAATTACAAGCACACACCAGAGTGCCAGGTACTTTAGGTGGATTCTGGAGATCAAAATCAGGTCCTCACACCCAAAGTAATCACCTCCCCAACTGAGTTGTCTCTGCATCCTTGTATGTATGTATGTGTAAAGTTGTGCTGGGCATGGTGGCTCATTCTTTTAAGGCCAGCACTCGGGAGACAGGTGGATCTCTATGAGTTTGATGACAATCTGATGTACATAGTAAGTTCCAGGATTGACAGAGCTACATAGTAAGTAAATAGTTAAATAATTGCTATTTGTTAAATAAATAAATAAATTACACATCAATGCATGTCCAAAAGAAGGTGTTGGACCCCATAAAGTTGGAATTGTAGGTGCTTGTGAGTCATCTGATTGGTGCTGGAAACCACACTCATCCTCCACAAGAACAACAAGGGTTCGTAACTGCCGAGCCATAGATCTAGCTCCTCAGCCCTTAGTCCTGTTCTTAAGAAGTAATGGCGCCAGCTTCACAAAGCGCTGTCCTCTGTATCTCTTACTTGGTGTCTGACTGTCCACCTACTCCTTAGGGTAGGTTTCCACTATGCCTGCAACAGGACCTGGCATACTGGTAACCTCAGACACCATTTCTTTCTTTCTTCTTCTTAAATAATTTTTATTTTATTTCATGTGGATGGCCTGCATGTATGTCTGTGCATCACATGTGTGCCAGAAGAGAATGTTGGATCCCTTGGAACAGGAGCTAGAAATGGCTGTGGGTGCTGGGCATCAAACTCTTGTCCTCTGGAAGAGCAGTCAGTGTGCTTAACTACTGACCCATCTCTTCAACACAAACACCATTTCTTTTTATATTTTAGTTTTTCTTTTTCAGTTTTTCGAGACAGGGTTTCTCTATGTAGCCCTGGCTGTCCTGGAACTCTGTAGACCAGGCTGGTCTCAAACTCAACAGTGATCTGCCTGCCCCCGCTGCTGGGATAAAAGGCCTGCACCCACCACCACGGGCCAGGCACCTTTCTAATCCTCATCTTCCTCCTGGTGGTGTTGGTTGGTGTGGCGGTGGTGGTGGTGTGTGTGTTGGGGGTGGGGGTAGGACGACAACAATGACAAACAGGATTACTTGGCCTTGAGCAAACGCCAGCCTTACACTACAACACAAGCTGGAAAGAAGCTGCATAGAGAGAGAATGAGCCTCTTGGCCACAGAATGCCAGTTCTGGGCCCAACTAATCTTTCTAATCGGTCCACGGTCTGCTGACTCCTTCTAGGACGCTAGGGAAGGGAGGTATCAGCAAACACCAGGAGAGAACGCAAAGTGGGGCCCGAGAGCGAGGTCAAAGTCAGGAGGAAGAAGAAACAGCAGCAGGCCAATACCCTCAATTCCCTCACCGGGTGGTTCCTTGGAAGACAACGTTCTCTCACCTCCATGTTCCACCTGGCTTCTAGGCTAGGGGAACTCTCAGGACATGCTACTGGGACACAAGGATCCACTGAGCCAAAGCCTGCAGAAGTCAAACAGCTCCTTCTACCCTTTGAGTACACAGTGCCAGGTCCAGGCAGGACCATGATGCCAGCTCCCCCGCACACTAACGCTGGTACATTACCGGTCCTCTCTGCTTCCCTCGGGCTTCTAGAATGCGCAGGAGGCCCTCATTCATATCTCCATGTTCCAGGCAAAAAAGCTGAGGTCCCTAAAGTGGAAAGCCACGTGCCAAGGTGTCCCAGAGTGACTGTTGACACCCTTTTCCTGGGTTGAGTACTTGGCAAATACTGGGACTTTACAGCCTCAGGGTGCGCCCTGCCCAGGGGAAAACCTCACCAGGGGGCAGCAACGGGCACACCCTTGGCCTCACTTTTTAAAGATTAAGTGCTCACATTCAAAGCTCGGAGAGGGGCCTGCTTGATCAGCTACGTTGAGACGGGGTTCCTGGGGACTCTCCGATGCCATCGCGAGGACAGGCGCCGGGCTACCTGTCCCAGACATCCATGAGGAGCCTGAGAATTGCGGGCATCAAAACGCGAGCGAGGTTATCCTGGACCAACGCGATTCCAGCATCCGGCCTCTAGGCCTGGGCCCGCCCCGAGTGGAGGCGGAGTCTGGGGGCGGCCGCACGCGGGGGGCGTGTCGGGACCGGCCGGGGGCGGGCGCACAACCGCAGCCCGCGGCAGAGGCGCGGGCGCGCTTAGGCCGAGTGCTGGGCGGCCCGGGCGGCCGCACCATGGAGCCGGGCACCGAGGAGTACGAGCTCAACGGCGACCTGCGCCCGGGCTCCCCCGGCTCCCCCGACGCCTCGGTAAGACCCCAGCACCCCCTGCCCCGGCCGCTGTGTGACCTTGGCTGGCGCCGCCCTCTCTGGGCCCGGCTCAGCAGCGGGCACCTGTGGGTGACGGGCCCGGTGCGCGCCGGCGTCCTCACTGCGGGGTGGTGGTGGTGGCCGCTGCCCCCGGGCAAAGTCGTGCTTAATCTGACCGGAGCACAAATGGTGGGGTCTGGGGCCAGCACAGCAGGTGGGCAGAGGCGTCAGGAGGTCTAGCGTGCTGCGGTTGCCGTGCGGTGCCGGGCCGTGCCGCGCTGTGCAGAACCCCACGTCTGACTGGCCACACTCCTCGGGTGGAGGAGGCTGGCATCCCGCTCTCCCGGACTTTCCTTTCCTCCCACACCGCCCTCCAACTTCCAGTGCCTGGGAGCTGTCTCCTCCTGCGTGCCCTGGGGTGGGCGGGAGAAGGAGTCACCGCCTCCTGGTTGGAAGCCAGCACCAGGCAGACAGCTACGTCACCACATGGTGACCACACGGTTGCGTGCAGCAGTGGTAGGGGAAACCCGAGGCTGTGCCCTGCTGCGGTCACCTGCCTATGAAAAACAGAACGTCACCCTCTCAGCCTTCAGGGTGTCCACTCTAGGACTGAAAGGACCTGCCCAGAGTTTGTTCTGCCGAGGCTACAGCAGTGGTCGGATGCCCCATGTTGAGGGAATCGTCCTTCCTCACCCCTCACCTCATAGTCTACCTCCAGGGCAGAGCCTGAGCATGCCAGGGCCCAGCCTTCACTAGTATCACCCCGCATGGCCCTCTGGCCCTCTGTGACTTGTTGACTTTGGACATTACTTCTTTTTCCAACACCCCACCCTGGGGTGGGGGTGGGGAATTGCACCAGGCTGGGATTTTCCACAATTCCCCGTGGGGCAAAATAGACTGGAACAGGGACCTTCTGCCCCAGTTCAGACTCATACTGTGGGAACAGTGTTGTTCAGGGAAGAGGAACCAGAGGAGCAAGATGTGGAAGCCTAGCCGTCTGTCCCTGGATGAGAGGAGAAAATGGGACTAGAAGAGCCTTGGGACTCGTTCAGGTGTGACAGCTGAGACCTGCGAGCACTCTGGGAGCAGTGGGACAAGGGACACCTGGCTGTTCTGGAGAGGGTCCTCAATCTCTCTGGGCTTTTTTAAAAAAAAAAAAAAAAAACATCATCTAACCAGAAGAACCAATGGTATCTCTCTGCCTTTAAGGCCAGGGGATGCAGATCTGGAGCGGGTAGGACAGGTGGTTTAGAAGCTGGTCTGAAGGGAACCCTGCCTGTCCCAGCCCCGGGCCTTGCTGTGCCTTCCCTTCAGCGCTATGTCTGTTGAACTCTGCAGACAGCTGGATGAAGTGTGCCTCCTAAGGGAAGTCTGGGCTTATACACAGGAGAGATGGGTTAGGTGCTTGGGAGTCCCTGTCTTGGCTCTGGGAAAGAGATAGAGATAGATAGATAGATAGATAGATAGATAGATAGATAGATAGATAGATAGATAGACAGACAGACAGACAGACAGACAGATACCCCCATCCCCCACTGCTTCATTGAAGAGCACAGGTAGGGGAATAAAACTACTGCCTGACAGGGGGTTGGTGGGGAGCAACGGCCAGAGAAGGCTCCTGTGTGACGGAGTCGCCTGCATTGGCTTGCTGGAGGGACACAGATTTGGCCCTCTCGTTGAGTGGAAGAGCACCCAGGAAGAGGGATCCGTACAAGTACAAGTAGAGTCTTGAGTCTGGATTACTGAGAACATACAGGGCTGGGGGGGGGGGGGTTGTTTAGGGTCGTTGGGGACAGGATGCTTCCCTGGTGTGTGGCCAGCCTTAAAGGCTGCCCCACTCAATGCCCTGCCCCCCTTCCCAACCTCAGGACCCTACCTCCAAATATCTGGCGTGTCAGCCCTCTGTGCCTCAGTTTATCATCTATGAAATGCCGTGGTAGCAGGGCTTCTGCTAAATAAGAACTGTATGGCTGATGCAGAGGAAATGCTTGCAACAGAGTACAGCGCACAGTGGTGTTAGCTACGGAGGCATTCTCATGGTGACACCCACAGAGGCTTGGGGAGGACAGTGCTGTCCCTAGGGTGGAACCTCAAGGGAAACTCAGTTTTGCCTTTGAAAAAAGGAGCACCCTAACCTCCCAGGTGGCAGAGGCTCCCCAGAGCTGCCCTGGTGGGTCCTCTGAAGTACATCACTCAGCGTGCCCCTCCAGATGCTAGGTGCCCCAGAGCCAGGCGCCTAAAGGCCTCATTCATGTCCAGACCGAGGCAGTTGTTGTGAGTTAGCTCACTATTGCCTGGCAGCTGTGGAACAGTAAATACAGTTCAGTGCAGAAACACCATGCCCATGTGATGATGCTGGGGATAGCTTCATGTTAGACCCTGTGGTGGGGGGGGGGGTGGTGACTGAGTGGAGCTGGGCCGTAGCCCTGCAGTGCCCACCCTGCTCTCTTGCCCCTCACTGAACCCAGGCTGAGGTATCAATGGCCATATCTTAGGTCTCCAGGCCATGTCATTGTACCAATGCACACGGCCATTCCCTCTGCCTGGCCTCGGCTGCCAGAAGTTTTCTGTTTCCCTTATTTCTGCTTGCCTGGCAGATCCTGGGACAGTCGGATCTTAGCCAAGTTCTAAAGGCCACCCTAGTGGGCCTCAGGGTAACTCCTGGTCAGTTCTGAGCCACAGGAAGTGAGTAGGCTGTGGGGACCCTGCCTCCTATCCTTCCTGCTCCCTCACTGGAGTTTCCTGACCAGAATGCATATGTGGAACCAGGAAACACTTAGGCTCCCTCGACAAGGGCAGTGCAGCCTGGGGCACCGAAGTCTGGGCTTTAGATTCGGACAGGGACAGGTGGCTTCCTGCTGGATCTGGCCTAGGAGTGGGTCTGCAGCTCCTGCCCCTGTGCCACAGTAACCCCCACCATCTGCTGGTGTGTAACAGGGTCTCTGAGCAGTCCAGGGTGGGGTCATCAAGGATCTATCTAGACTTAGACCTCTGGGTCACCTAGGACATTTTGGCCTCATGGAGGGCCTGTGTAGCCTGGCCTTTCTTTTCCTTGTTTCTCTTTTTGTTCACATGCTGGTATTGCTCCTTGACTACAGTTAAGTCTGTCACCGGGGAGAACCAGGCACTGAGTAAGGGTACATCCTGGCCCTGCCATTTGATGCAGCATGCCCCAGCAGATCATGAACCTCTGAAATCATGGTATAAAATCCCCTGGATTTTCACATCTGTTTTACTGATAAACAATCACCTTGCCAGCCATTGGTGTGGCGAGATTGGGAAGGGCAGGGTGTGTATATAAGGGACAACACCCTGCTTTATGGATAAAGCTGATGGGCACAGATCCCCATCTAAGCTTTGGGGGGTCCATAGCATTCATTGTGCTATGACTAAGCCAGCCCTTAGGTGCCCACTCCCCTCCCACCTCATCCATGAGACAGGCCCTGTCAAGTGCAGCTCCCTGTATATGCTGACTACTGCACAATGTTCCTTTTTGGTGTTTAGAGGAAAACAGCCTACTTGATGTCAGTTCCTAGCTGCCTCTGAGGCTTCAGGGAACTCCTGCCAGCCCTGGGACATATTAACCAGTATATTTTCTCCCTCATCTGCCCAGGTCACTGGCACAGGCATGGCAGGGTTTTCTAGCATGCTCGGGCAACTAGTTAGGCCCGCAGGGCTCCCTGATCTGTGGTTGAGTGGCCCAGCCACCCTTGGATCCATCCTATTGTATATCCTGGGAGAGGCCATCAGCACGACTCAGGGTCAGACCCCAGATTGGGCCCCTTCCCAGCTGCATGAAGCCCCAGAGGCCTCAGAGGGTGGACACCAATGGTATGTGTGCAGGTGCAGCCCTATCCTGGCTTTGAATGTGGATCTTCCTCTCCCTGGAGGTATCCTACAAGGCCCCCAGAGACTCCCATCTCCCGATCCCCAGAGAAGAGTGGTGTGTCCCAGTACTCAGTGGCAGACAGGTTTCCCAGAGGGCATCCCCAGATGTGAAGGTGGGGAGACCTACAGAATGTGGGGGGCACAGAGCCAGGCTGTGGGAGGTGGAGTTTAACACCATGCAAAGGCCTGCTTTGCCTTCGGGCCTGTGCCTCAGCCTGAGGCCCTTATCATCTTACAGGGTGAGAGGGAAGCAGATGGCTGATGGATCATAGCCTCTGTCAGTCCCAGGGGCTGTGAGCCATCCCAGGCTATTAGGTCCACAAGCCCCGTGGCGTATGTGAGACACAGACAGGCCAGGACTGGCTGTCCTGAACTAGACACAGGGCCCCTTGAGAACTGTCCTCTTAGAGTCTCAGCTGCCAGGACTCTGAGCCCCAAAGTTCAGATTGTAGCCTGGCCCCCAACTGCTGTGTAGCTTTGGAAAGAAGCTTCCAGTGCAGAGCCTCAGTTTACCCCTTGAGTGAGAACAGCAGAGACATAGGAATTTGTGACTAAGAGTCCTGAGAGCAGAGGGGGAGGTTAGGGACATGAAACAGCTCCTTCATGTATCTGTTCCTTGTGATGATGTGATCACCAAGTATTTAAATGGTTCAGAATCAGAAGGAATTCTTCCTGCCGCCCAGCAGCCTGCAAGCTTAGCCTGCGGCTGTTATTGCATCATTCATCCATTCTCTGGAGTTGGAGTTCTCTGCTCCTCCAGCTAAGCTATCAAAAGTTCCACTTTCTGTGTTTATGTATGTATGCATACATGTGTAGGCACATTTATCTGTGTGTGCTTATGTGAAGATACGTATATGTATGTGTTATGAGGTACATGGGCTTGCACATACACGCACACACAGTACTCGAGCACATGTGCATACCTATGTATGTCCATGCATTTGTAAACTTCTACAATACATACAACTGCATATGCATGTAAAATTATACACCCATACCTATACACATACTCACACACAAGGAATGTGCCCTTGAGTAAGAATTGTTACCAAAAGGAGCTTGCTATTTGAAGGGCAGCTTACTTTGAAAGCAGGGGTTGGGATGTTCCAGCCCAGGTTCAGGCAGCAGAGCCCACCTCTTCCTCCCACCACCCACACTGCCTTCCTTCTTGAATGCATGACTTCAGAAAAAATTTCAGGCACGCACACTGTCCAAGTAGAGGCCTGCTCTCTGCCGGTGCAGTGGCATCTGCTTTGGGCTTCTCAGCCTGCAAGAAAATAGTCACCTGAGTGCAGTGAGCGCCTTCCCCACAGCACCGCCTCCATGCCCTGTATCTTTCATGAGTCTAGAAACAGGATCTTTCAGGGTGGCCCCAGGTGGCTGACTGCCAACAGCGGGTCCTGGCTACCTCTTTGAGCCTCATGCCCATCCCTGGAGGCTATGATGCGGGCCTTGATGGCTCAGGGGCACCAGCGGACAAAAGGCTGAGCCTAGGTCTGGTGAGACTTTCCTGGGTAGCTGAGAAGGGGCCCAGGGCAGCTTGAGAGAGCTGACTGGCTCAGTGGAAAGAGAAAACTAGCCACTTAAAGGTGCCTTAGAATGCAGCAAGCCAGCCAGAGAGGTGACCTGTTGGTACAGGAGAGGGACAGGTCCTACCAGGGGGATCAGGGAGGTATACTGGAAGCAGGGACATCCAGAGAGAACCTCAGAGCATGGAAGGGGAAGCCCTGTGGGTAGAGAGAGACTACAGGGTCCTTTGTGACTAGCAATGAAAGAGAGGTGGGAGGTGACCTGGGAAGTGGCCTCCAGGGAGGAACAGGGACTGAGATTAGCCATAAGAGAAGAGAGAAGGCCACCAAGGGTTGCCCACCCTGAAAGGAGCTCAGAACTCTATCTCTGCTGTTACTCTGAAAATTCAGGAGACAGACATCCTGTTCTACTGCATGCAGGTTGGTGGGGCATCTGTTGAACACCTGCTGTGTGCTCTTGGTGCCACATATCCATGAGTAGCTTTAGCTAAACTGGGTGGTGAGACCGTTCTGTAGGGGACGCTGAAGCTGGGGTTATTGTCTGTATGTGAAGCCGCACTGAGGGTAGTGAGGCTGGGCCTGGGAGGTGAGCCAAGGCAGGGTTGACCAGACCTTTGAACTCAGCCCAGGAAAGATTAGTTCAAGCCTCGGGCCAGCATGTAGGAGCCTGTCTACTCCTACCTCGTGTCTCTTCCTGATACCAGTCAGGAACGTAGACTCTGAGGAAAGGGAGGCCCAGGGTTCCCAGGGAAGGAGGACTACCTGCTCTTGCACAGGATAGAGAGGGCCATGGTATTTCTCAGCTGGAGGCCAGTGTGTGCTGAGGATGGTGTTCTGGCTTCCTTCTCTCTAGAACATTACTCCAGGGAATTTCCTTAGAGTAGTGAGCACTTGCCAAGGTTGGGGCATCAGAAGCCCTACCTGCAGGGACCTTGGTAATTCCCCGCAGCACCGGGAAGACCCAGATCCCCAAGTTGACCCTGCCCTGCTGACCGCCTTGCTCCCCACAGCCACCCCGCTGGGGTTGGAGGAACCGGCCCATCAATGTAAACCATTATGCCAACAAGAAGAGTGCTGCGGAGAGCATGCTAGACATCGCCCTGCTCATGGCCAACGCATCGCAGCTGAAAGCCGTGGTGGAACAGGGCCATGACTTTGCCTTCTTCGTGCCCCTCGTGGTCCTCATCTCCATCTCCCTCGTGCTGCAGATCGGAGTGGGCGTATTGCTCATCTTCTTGGGTAGGGTCCGTGGCTACTTGCACAGCCCCAGGGATGGGTGGGGAGATGCATAGGGGTAGGTGGGGGGTAGTGGTTTCTCCTCAGGTAGCCAGGTTTTTGGTCCAGGCTGTGGCTTCTCCCCCTCTGACCCTGTCCTTTGAAAGCAGAGTAAACTTTAGGGTTCTTGGGGTCTGGAAGATGGGATAGTGCAGGGAAGAGGGAGTGGGTTCCCTGCCATGATAGCTTCTGCCAGCTAGTCCTCCCTGCCCAGACCAGCTCAGGCCTGACTTTGCTGCCTGTGTCCAGTAACAAAGAGCAGCCAAGTTCCACAGGAGACAAAGAGACCCTTACCTAGGAAGCAGGGATGAGACTTTGGGTCAAGATGTGATAAGGGGACTCTGGTTTGGGAGGTGAAGAGGAGATGCTAGGGCATGAGGTAAAGAGGGGATGCTGGAGATAAGATGATTCTGGGCCCACAAGGTGACTTTGGACCTGGACCACTGTCTCCATGGACAGGATGCCCAAGTAAAAACCCAAAGTGTAGAGTGTAACCACTAGTTCCCAAACTTAATCACTGAATGTGCCCTCAGCAGGTGACCCACTTGCATTGGTAGGCACAGATGGATAGCAGATAGGAAAGTGCCTGGGGTTGCCAGGGTTAGAGCGGATGTCATCAGGAACAAGTAGGGTTCCAGATTTGCTTTCTGACAGTGAGACCTTGGGCTAATGAGGGGACCTTCCGGGACTCCATGGTCCATACCCGTGCAATGGGTATAGTAGCACAGCCTAGGTTAGATCGGAGGCTCCATAAACTAAGGCTCTTGAGTTCAGCACTTTTGCCTTTGAAGCAAAACCTGGCCTGGTGGCATTCAGAGTGTCGTTAGCTTAGCACATAACCTGCCGGGCTTCTTTTCCTCGTGGATAAAGTGGGGAATATAGAAGGTAAGGACATCCATGCCTAATTTTAGCAAAGCAGGCAATCTTTGAATGGGGAACAAAACACTAAATATGGCCAAGAGCCTTACACCGTCCACTCAGCACACTCCCGAGACACTTTGATCCGGTCCAGGCTTCCCTGGGCAGCATCTACTCCCTCTCGCCCACAGTCAAGTATGACCTTAACAACCCAGCCAAGCACGCCAAGCTGGACTTCCTTAACAACCTGGCCACGGGACTGGTATTCATCATCGTGGTGGTCAACATCTTCATTACGGCCTTTGGGGTCCAGAAGCCTGTAATGGACGTGGCACCCCGGCAGTAGGGCACCCAGGTGAGTTGCTACCTGTTGCTACCACCACCATGGGAGACTTGTAGGGTGTGGTGGGTTCTAGGCTGGCTGTCCCCTCATGTGGCATGGCCAGGCTGCTTACTAATCTTCTGAATGTAGTCCTTGATGCTTCCTGAGTATGTAGGTCATCTGGCCAGGAGGCTGGTACTAGGGCCTGTGGAAACTGGCCCCAGTCCTCCTGGCTCTGGAGATACTCTTCATGGTTATCTCCAGAGGTTTCAAATATTTGCTGACAGCATGATCTGCTGCTGCTGCTGACAGCTGGAGTAGTGGCTTCTGCTAGGTGGGTGACCATGGTCACCATGATAGGTTGGTCTTTCAGTCCCGACAGAGACCCAGGAATATTGTATTCACTGTGAAAGGGCTGCAGCATCTTGCCCATGGTGGATAGATCCTTACACCCAAGACCAAGTAGCCCTGATGCCCACAAGCTGGTCACTGGCATGGACTCAACACCCCGTCCAGCCTGGGGCACTGTTAGTTGGCCCTTGCAGCACTCATGCCTCTTTTCGTCTTTCCAGAGTTATCTGACCCGCAGCCCAGCTGTCCAGACCCCTGCAGCTGCCGTGCCCTCCAGGCATCTCTCCTTTTGTGCACAGCACTCCCTTAAACCACCAGAGCCCACGCTGGCCACCGCTGGACCATGGACAGGGATGGACTTCCATCCAACTGTCACTGCTGTGTGGGCAGCCACCCAAGGCATGTGGGATCTGGATGCACGGCCATGAAGATTAGAACTGGACAGCCCCACAGAAACCCATGCCTGGAGAATGGTCGCTGCCCACCCAAGGACATGCAGCAAGTCCACGATTGGGCTCGATGAGGGGCCAGCACTGGCCTCTGTCTCAGGACATTCCAGAAGGACCAGGATATGCCCCTCCCTCTGCTGATGCATCACTGTCCCTATTTCCCATGGAGCCTGCACAGGTCACTCTGGAGACTGCTGCCTCTGCTGTTTCCTAACCCCCGGACCTTGGACAGCCAACGGTATCGTCAGCTCCAGTACAAGCCTCAGTGCCTGGGCTTGGCTGCCAATCATTAAGAGGCAGCCATGCCAATGGGGGCTACAGGTCATGCTGGTACTGTCTGCCAGCAGTGACCTGGGAAGAACCCTAGCCCCCTACTCAGGGGTTTAGGCCCCACTTTTCTAATCAGGAACGACAATAAAGCTTATATGCTTCCCTGCTGGGTTCCATGTGCCACCCTCCCCTCCTGGGGCAGCACCCTCCACTCCCAGACAGCCCCTCCCTGCAGGGGCATCAGCACATTCTAGCCAGGGTCTTTATCCTCTTTGGAATACCTGATTGAACTCTCAGCCTTCCCTCTTTCTAGGGTAGGTTTTGAGACAGAAGTTGGGATCTGAGGCTCAACAGCCTTTATGCACAGAGCAGTTTCAGGAGAGGCTGGAGAGATAGCTCCATGGTAGAGTGCTTACTGCACAAGCTTGAGGACCCAGGTTCAAATCCCTAGCACCCATGTACAATTCCAGGTGCAGTGGCTTGTGCTGGGATTATCAGTGCTGGGGTAGCAGGAGGAGCCCTGTTGTCCACTGACCAGCCAGCTAAAGTGACACCTGGTTTTGACATCTGGGCTCTACACACGCATGCCGCACAATGTCATATGTATATATTGCATGTATGTGCTCGCCCACACACACAAGTTGCAAAAATAGTTCATAGAACAGTCTCACACACTGAACGTCTTACTAGGCATATTCTCTGTTGTTCTGGAGCCTGCTCTGCTGGCCTCCTCAGGATTTGGGAGGAGTGCAGGTGCCTGGGCCCCAGCTGCCCAGGAGTGTGCCAGCCTCCGGGTACAATGTTGGAAGGACACAGCAACTCTCTGCACTTTGACTGCCCAGTGTTGGCATGCCAAGTACTAGAAACTGCTGGTCTTCCCAAATGAACATCAGTCTGATACACCCAATGACTGCCCTGTAAACCTCAGTTCCATGCCTGTATCATTTGTAACAAAACATGTTGTAAACATGTTGTAAACAAACATGTTGTAAACAAACATGCCTGTTTAAACATGTTGTAAACATGTAAACAAACATGCCTGTATCATTTGTAACAAAAAAACTGCGGGCACACAAAGCAGAAGGCTGCCAAGTGTAGTCAGCAGAGTCCTGTGTGAGGGCCTGGGTCTCACCAGACCTGGCTCAGGGCCATACCTCCTGGCGTTATCCCAGTGTGCCCTCCACCATGTGGACTGGCCAGCAGCCTCCTGGGTGCCTGGACTCAGCAGCCGGATGTTGACCAACACATGGTTTAACTTAGTTCCTTCTTCATCAAAAGAGGAAACCCCCAGATGGGACTGAGGGGCTCTGAAGTGGTTTCACCGAGGTTAGGCTGTAACCCAAGCCAGAGTCCCTGGTCAGGGTGGCTCAGCGTGAGCACGTAGCCCTCTCTGCTATGGACCTGTGCTTAGAGCTGACCTTTGACCACCTTGATGCCCCTGGTGAGAAGAGGACCCCTCACAGCCTGATCTCCTGATGTGTGTGTCCTTGTCCCCCAACAGCCATCACGTGGTGGGTGTGTCCCTGTTCCACCATCTCTATCCCTTGGTTTGTGCTTCCTCCCATTCCCCATGGCTCTGTCCTAGACGACTCCCTCACACCGGACACCTATGCCAACTGTCCCCCACCAGCATGTAATCTGATGCAAGGCCAACACTGGCACCCAGGAAATAAGAGTTCTGCCAGGGAGCTCTGCTGGAGCTGGAAGAAATGGGTATATCCTGTTCTGTGCTTTTTACTCTATGCGCATGTGTGACTGTGTATGTGTGTGTGTGTGTGTGTGTGTGTGTGTGTGCTCACATATGCGTATGCACATGTGGAGGTCAGAGGTCAACATTAGGTGTCTTCCTCAATCACTCTCCTTTTTTGAAGCAGAGTTCCTCAGTGATCCTGGAAATCACTGATTCCATTATCACTGACCAGCAAGCTCCAAGGATCCTGTCTCTAGCTCCTCGGCACTGGGACCCTAGGCACACACGGCCATGCTAAGCTTTGTATGGGGTGCTGGGAACTGGGTCCCCATACTTGCACAGCGGAGGATCTCCCCAGCTCCCTTGCTTCTCTTGATGAAACCTTGTCCTGGGCCAGCCCTCCACCCACCATTGCCCCCAGAGTCAGTGGCAAACGCTGGCAGTGTCTAAGCATCAGGTCCCCACGCTGTTGCTGTGGCATTTCTGTCCTTACCACGTGTCCTTTAAGAAGCACTCTATGCAGTGGGGCTGGACTAGGAGGAGCGCCTGCTTGAAATGTGAGCTGGTCCTATCCAGCTGGACTGCAGGTGTCTCCTTCTCCCACACCTGTCACGCTCAGCCTACCCCTGTCCAACTACCCAGGTATCTTTCCTCCCCCCTGATTTCATTAGGGGTTTAATTCCATTTCCTACCCCTCTGCCTTCATAGCTTTCTGTTGTTCCTTCCAAAATACTTAATTTTTGGAAAGCACTGACTCCGGTGCCACTAATCTGGGAGGAAGGAAGAACCCCAGAGGCTGTCTTCTGCCAGTGGGTGCCACCACCCACTCTCAGGCCCAGGTAACCCTCCATCGCACCCATGTTACCTGCCAGGTCGACTGCAAAATGGAACTTAAGGATCCTTCTAACACAGCCTCACTCAAACCCTCCTTGCTGCCCTGGTCATCAGCAAGATAGGACCAGAATCTTGACTTGCTGTCAGATTAAAGCCAGGCAGTGGTGTTACACACCTTTGATCCCAATACTTGGGAGGAAGAGGCAGGCAGATCTCTGTGAGTTCAAGGCCAACCTGGTCTACATGGCAAATTCCAGGCCTACACAGTGAATCCCTGTCTCAAAATACAAGAGAGAGAGAGAGAGAGAGAGAGAGAGAGAGGCCAAAACAACAACAGGAGAAAAAAAAAACAGAAAAATTCCACAAAAAAGTAAAAACCTTGGGAGGGTGCCCTACAGTGATTTAATCAGTACCTCCCTGAGCTAGGCCTGTCATGCATACCCTCCTGTGTCTAGATGCCCCCACCCTCTCACCCACCATATAGGTGAGAGACAGAGAATTGAGCAATGATGGGACAGAACAGTGTCCCCCAGCTTTCCATCGCCCTGAGGGCCCTTCAGCTGCTAAAATCAGTGGGAAGAACAACAGGTCTGCCTGTCCCAGCTCATCTGGTCTGGAGGAGGGTAAGTGCCCAGGACCCCCTCAAGCGAGTCATGGTCTATGGCTAATTGGACTTGTGGCTAGGGAACCTTGGCAGGGCCTCACAAGCCATCTGCAAAGGGGAGATGGCCTAGCCTGCAGCGGCTGACCCAGCAGGAACTAGAAATAATGCCACCACACAGAAGCAGAGTCAGCGCACCCCCAAATCGTCAGCTTGGGTTGTGTAAGCTGCAGATGCATTTCTGGGCTCCACCCTCATGTGTCCCTGTGTCCCCACTGACCTGTGCACAGCTTGCTCAGCATTCTGTCCCATTCCATCCACTCCACTCCAGAACCCCCCCCCCCACACACACACTGGTTCCTTCACCACTAACTCCTCCATTCTCCGCTACCCTCGCTAGCCCCTTCCCTTCTGGGAACAGCGCCCAAGGAGCAGACCCTGTTTTTGCTTGAGTATCCTAGACAACCTAGAGGAGACAGTGGCATCCTACCTAGGACACAGAGGATGCATCAGAGGACAGGTGACAAGGGGTGCCCACAGAGAACGGCTCATTCCTTACAGGAATCCCTAACACTGTAGTGTGCCAGCACATGACCCCAACTGTCCTGTGTTTCAAGGGGCATCAATGAACAAATGGCCAGCTGTGGCCCTTGTTCCTTGTAGACTTAACTCATTCCAGGCCACAAGGTGACAAGGAGGAAGGACAGGGTCCTATCAGGATGCTGAGGCCCAGGTAAGGGAGTTCCTGTACTCTCTCTTCCATGGGATACAGCTTGAGGGAGAAGGCCTGTGGAGAACCAGCCCATGAGAAGGCGGCAACTAAAGTCCAGGACGTTGAAAACCTCAGCCACAGGCATTAAGTCCAGCTACAGGATGGGGCTCAAGTGGCTGGGAGGGGCATTCAGGGACAGCCTATGTCCAGGGGTTGTCAGGCTAAGGGCCTCAAGGTAGGCCCTTAGAAGGTCATGGGCAGAAGAAGGAAGTCAGCAATCCTGGAAAGCTAAGCAGGCCTACATTAGGGTATCGGCCTCCTGTACAGCCAGGGGACCAGGCCTCACAGGTCTTCGAGGTGTCTCTAAGGAAGGACAATCACAGTGGAGTCAAATGGAGACCAGGCCCAGGACCTTCCCAGACACCATTCCCAGCCCTTGGCTGACAGAAGCTAGGGTTTCAGTGCCCCAAGAGACCCCCCTCCACTTTCCAGGACCTGTCCACACAATTGACACAAGGGGCTGCCACTTCTACCCAGGCATCTGTCACCTTTACTGTGTCATATATTGGGCAAGCCTCGAGTAGAGTGGTCAGCTCACCCAGCGCTCTCTGTGGCCATGGTTCTCATAAGGAGGAGCCCAGAGTAGGGTTCCTGTGTTACAGGGGTACAAACTAAGTTTGGATGCTGGTAAATACATTCCCTGCTCCTGCAGCTCTGAGGTGGGGCAGCGAGATGGTAACTGAGCACTGGCCCCAAAGCCACATGTTCTCACCGGGCACAGTGTGTCCCGGATGACGACGGAAAGGCACTGAAGAAACAGCCTTCCTTCGCCTTTGCCGGCAGTTCTCCAATAGAGCATGTGCTCTATGCCTGCAAAGCACCAGTTTTAGGGCCCGGGTCAGGCAGTCAGCAGATTGGCGACCAGAGCCCTCATGTGCTCTATGAGCTTGAGACTTGAGTGGAACTTCTCCCTGGGGACCGTGCCCCAGTCGTCCCACGTTTACGTTTGGGTCATCTCAGTCTGCACCTGCCTGGGTAACTTCCACAACCTAGCACGTGTAACTCTGGAAACTCAGTGACTCTTGAAAACACAGACTCATGATGACTCTGTGAGTTGACAATGTTGTTTCCTCAAAAAAGCCTGATTGGGAGGAACTGGCTGGGAGCCGCTCAATAACAAACCCTTCAGGCACCGGCCCCGGGCGCAGTAAGTGTCCTGACTCATATCCCGTGTCTGGTGCCTTGCATGTATAGAGTATGCATGCAAATGGACCTGTGTATCTGTGCATATGGCATATATGTGAGTGAACATGTACACAGCATGA